CGGGGCCTCTTTTGGTCTTAGAATATTTGTCTTTCATTGAATATAAAAGAGAAAAGATAAAACAAGTACCTTAATTTTTTATTTCTCTTGGTTCCTTTATCACAATATGAGGTTTCATAAAATGTAGCAACTTTCACACAAAGATAGCGATATTTATGATGTCAAAGTGCTGATCAGTTTTCTCTTGAAAAATCGATTTTTTTTTTGAGTTTGTTGTTTTTAATAAATGTACATATATATATATGTACGTAAGTATAATTATTACCATTCCTTTGAAATGCAAAAATTAATTCACACTAATTTAAAAATAAATCTGAAAAGATTGTTTTGTATTTCCTTTTTTTTAATTTTCTGGATTTTTTACCTTGACTTTTTGACTACACAGCTGGTTACTTTGACAGCGTTCCAAGTCGCCATTTGGCCAAATGAGGTTTTGAAGTAAATCAAGCCTGCATTGGCCAGCGCCTTAAGGCGTAGTTTGGTTAAGGCCCAAAGAAGGTCGCTTCTCGAAGTTTCTTACTACTTACTTAGGGAATCCTTACTACTTATTTTACTAAGGAAAAGTCGTGGATTTGAAAAGGATTAGGGACATAAGACACTTAATAGTAATAAGAATTTCGAGTTTTTGAATTTTGAGTTGTGCCGTTATTGTAAGCACTCGAATTTATTAAAAAAAATTAAAATGTAGGCATGTTTGGTGGAACTGTCTGTGTGAAAGATGAAAATTTGGTCAATATCTTAGGCTCCCCCAAGTCCATCAAAGTTCAATATGCTCAAAAAATAAAAATCAGAGACCGAAAATAATTATTATCCTAATATTCAGGATCAAAAACGTCGCTTTGTTTTAAGAGCAATTTTTTTCATCCTTGTATAATAATTATTTACGAGAAATATCCTTTTTCGTCTCGCGGGACGATTATTTCAAGACGAATATTATTAACGTCTTCTCATAATAATTATATGGGCTTTTTATTTTTTTTCGTCTCTCGGGACGTTTATTTCAAGACGAATATTATTTACGTCTTCTCATAATAATTATAAGGGCTTTTTTATTTTTTTCGTCTCTCGGGACGTTTATTTCAAGACGAATATTATTTACTTCTTCTTATAATAATTATATGGGGCTTTTTATCTTTTTTCGTCTCTCGGGACGTTTATTTCAAGACGAATATGATTTACGTCTTCTCATGATAATTATATTGGCTTTTTTATTTTTTTTTCGTCTCTCGGGACGTTTATTTCAAGACGAATATTATTTACGTCCCATATTTTTCTTAATAGAATTGGTACACTTACAGCCGATTTCACGAAATTTTTTGATTGCAATTTAATTGAAATTTAATTTAAATTTTAATTTTTATTAAATTTTGCATTTAAGTTTTACTCCTTTCACCAGTACACACTTGGCCTAATTCAATTTGTCTGGCATAAATGAACTAATTCAGCTTCGAAGTTGAAATTTGGCGAAGTCAATTGCCATGGCATTTATAAGAATATGACCAAATTGTGGACCATCGGGCCACGCCTACCTTGACCGCCCATACAGCATTATTTATAGCTTTAAAGATTTTCAATGAGAAGTGAGTAAATCTTATACGTATTTATATAAAGTAAAGTTGCAAAAGTGGTGTAACTCATTTACTCAAAAACCTCTGGACCGATTTTGACGAAATTTTGAGAATTTGAGAATTGGGAGAAGGTTTAATTTATGTTAGTCTGCTATCCGGTAAATATTAAAACATTAATTCAATTTAGTTAAATTAATTACTTCAATATGGGTATCAATCGAAATGGTGTTGAAAAGGATTTATTTCTAAGCAACATGGGTGTCAGGCGAGGTTGGTTGTAGTCTAAAAATGTGTACACGAAGGCGTAAACAAAAAAGGTTTAAGAAAGTTTCACTTTGAAAATTTGTGGATGAGGGCTGCCAACTGTTTAATTATTTAATAACTTTAATGAGTGATAACAATATGGATATCAAACGCAAGAGTTTTAAAAAACTTCATTTCTAAACTATATGCAGGAGCTGGGCCGTAGCCAGGATTTTTTTTTCGGGGGGGAGGGGTGCTTTCTGGCAAAATATTTTTTTTATCACTTTTATTTCAACACATTTTGATTAAAAGAAAAATACTGATAAAAATAAAATATTTCACACAAACAACAAAAAATAGAATCGATAATCGCGTGAGGCTTTTGCCTGAAAATTTTTAAATGCACTTAGTGGCATTGTGCTACTATGATAGCTCGGCCCAGTAATCATAGTCAACTTATGTACGGTAGACTGCATCATTCCCCATACAAGAAAAAATCGGTACTAATCTTCCACTGGAATTATGAAATTGAGTTTTTTATTTAAAAAAAGTTTTTTTTTTTTAATATTTTTTGAAAAAAAAATCCCTCAGATTACTAAACAGTTTAAGCTTAAAAAATTTGTATAAAAATATTTACAACAAAATTTTCTACGGAGTCATAATATCTAATGAGATTTTCGATGCTGTTTTTGAACTTTTATCAAAGAATGGTTTAAGAAAAACTTGAATAACTCAGCCAAAAACCCTACCGATTTAAACTTATGAGGTATCATTGGTAAGGTATTTTCTCACTCTTTGAATTTCTTTGCGAATCAGCTCACTCAAAGTATGAAAGAGGAAGGTAAGATATACTACGTTTATACGCATGCATAAGTCGCTTTAATTCATTTCGCCACGATTCAAAACATATGTATATACTGAATTTCAATTCGCTTTGAAAGAGCGAAGTGTTTTGGCTCACACTCCATTTCAAATCGGTAGTTTATTTCTCCAGACAGTTAGAAAGAGTGTATAAACACCGCTCTCACTCAAAGCGAATCGGAGATCAGCTGTTCCGCTCAAATTCCAAATAATCGCATCAGTATTTAAAAGCTGATTAATAATAATCGTTCTTTTTCTTTGCCACGATTTTATAATGCCGAATAAAACTAGATTTTTATCACTTTCCATTATGTTAGCTTATGAAATGTCAAATGAAAACAGCTTATTTTGTTTGCTTTTGAAGACGGTTACTTTGATGCCGATATAAGGCCGTAAGTATAAACACTAGAGCGAAATGTGTACGGTGTCAATGCGCTTTCAATTAAGTCGATTATTTTGTGCGTATAAACGTAGTAATAAACGCGTGTCATTCCATGTTGAGTTAAGATGTGTTGGTATTTTATAAAGAAAACTTTGGGACGTGAATAAGTTTGTTTCGCAAAGAAATAAAAAAGGTGAGAGAATACCTTTCCACTGATACCGCATAAGTCTATATCGGTAAAGTGTTGGAGCAGTTATTCAAGTTTTTCTTACCCAAACCTTTGAAAAAAGTTAAAAAACAGCATCAAATTCTTATTATTATGATCCCTTGATAC